TTGTGCAGTGCTTAGAAAGCTGCAAATTTCTCAGATTCCAAAGCTACTCAAATTTTAATTACAAAGATTGTGAAGACGAATCAGGTGCTTATATAAATATGAAACTGTAAGACATACGCCTAACATGATCCTCCCAAATGTCAGCCAATCTCAAGTCTGGGATAGAGGTACGGTTAAGATTTTTGTAAAGCACTAATTTTTTCCAATTTTGTGATTAAGGAACTAACGGACTTAGAGATGTTTGTACAATTTTAAACGCGTCCTGAAAAATGAATAAGAGCTAATCACTAAAATTCAAATTTTAGCTCGGGAAACTTTGAGTGCGCTTGCAAAAATGACATTTACGATCATATCTGCAAGGCCCACTTAAATCACGAAAAAATCGTTTGATAATTTCACTACAGTACAATCCACTGTGGGTCGTAGGTGTTTTTTTAATTAGAACGGTGCGACTCATCGGTGATTGTAAGAATTTTGATGTTTTAAACTAGCTAGATTACGATGGAATTCCCGCGGGATTCTGGTAATGAAAGAACACTCCGCATAATGCCAAAAAATGTGATGAGGTGCTAATTTGATAATCAGTGCTCGATAGCCGCTCTAGGCATATTCTTGTGGACATGTTTTATTCGGTCGTAAATTGATTTTTTTTTCAAATGATCTTCACATCGCGAAACGGGAGTGTTCCTGATCATTGCCAGAATCCCGCGGAATCACATCGTAAACTAGGTAGTTTAAAACATCAAAAATCTTACAACCACCAATGAGTCGCACACTTCTGATTGACAGAACTCCTACGACCAACAGTGGATTGTACTTTAGTGAAATTATCAAACGATTTTTTCGTGCTTTGAGTGGGCCTTGCAGATATGATCGTAAATGTCATTTTTGCAAGCGCACTCAAAGTTTCCCGAGCTAAAATTTGAATTTTAGTGATTAGCTCTTATTCATTGTTTAGGACGCGTTTAAAATTGTACAAACATCTTTAAGCCCGTTAGTTCCTTCCTTCACAAAAGTGGAAAAAAGAAAAAATTAGTGTTTTACAAAAATCTTAACCGTACCTCTATCCCAGACTTGAGATTAGCTGACATTTCGAAGGATATGTTAGGCGTATGTCTTATAGTTCCATATTTATATAAACACCTGATTCGTCTTCACAATCTTTGTAATTAAAATTTTGAGTAGATTTGCAGCTCTCTAAGCACTGCACAGCAAAAATAGGAGTTAATACTTTTTTAGTGCTGAATTGCATCATAAAACTCTCAGGGTGCTAGTCTTACTAAGATTTTGAGCCCCTTTTCAGCATAGCGAAGGCCCTGAACAAGTGTTGGCATGAAAACGCAGCTTGTAGAGAAGGTTTTGAGCGTGTCGTTTCTTTCAAAACCGTTTTTATCTAGATCACGACTGACGCGTTTTATTCTCATATATGTTGAAAACGTTTTGTAGCAAAGCAAGTATCATCAGAGGCAGGGTTTTGCCAACTCAATGCGTGGCTGTTTCTGATAGCGAGAGAGTACGAAAAACTGTGCTTTGACGTGGAAGCTTAACAGGTTTATCCTTGAAATCAGGGTAAGTCCGCAATCCGCCTCTACACGAGTCGTGGAGACGATCATACCTGTACAATGATTGAAAAAGTTAAAGTTGCAGGATTACAGGTTGGCTTACATGAAGTGTGACATTTTTTCAAAATACTCGTTTTTCTTTTCAATGTCCTCATTTGCTTTTCTTTCTTTATAGTTTTTAGGACAAAATTTGTTGAAAAGCTCTTAAGAAAAGCAAAATTCAAGTGTATTTCGTTATCTTATCTCGAAAGAACGTAAATTTCTTTTGGTTAAAGGCTGTTAGAATTTTTATGATTTGTGCTTCCAAAACTTATCAGGTAAAGCAAACCCGGTAAAGGCATACCGAAAATGACACCGCACATCGTAGAAATCACGAAATTGATCAAATTATTGTATGTAAGTCAAATGCGAAAATTTTCGAAAGTGATTGCTAAAATCTAACAAGGGAAGGATACTTGGTGACCGTAGCCTTTTGCAATGAGATGTATACCAGTAGGTGTGCCTTGAAACGCTGATTCCAAATCTATGTTCATAATCTGCTGTGCGACTCTCTGAACGAAAATATGGACTTTTTTCCATATCGATTTACGAGATCTAGGCAGTCAGAAGCGTCAGAATCCAAGCTTTTTTGACTCCGATATATCGGAGTAAATTTTTCTAAGCTTAACGTAAAACTTTTCTTTACTTGGACGCTCTTTTATAGTGCGTAAGCGAACATTTTAACGATATTGGTAAATCTTGCATCAAAAACAGTGCAAATTTTGGTGTCAAAGATGTTCATAACTTCTTTCGAAAGAGCGCACGGCAGATACCAAAAGCAGATTTGGAATCAGCGCTTCAAGATACATTTAATGGTACGTTTCATTTTGAAAGGCCACGGATTTTCATGCTATCAGATAAAGTTTGCAATATGAATTGTTTTATGCAGAGTTATGAGCACTTTCTGCGTCACATTTCATGTGGACTACTTATAGATGCAAGGCTGCTAACCTTTGCAGCCAGAGAAGGGAAAAAGTGTGGTTTTGCAGGTCATTTTCATGGGATCACTTATGTATGGCGAAAGATTCTAGATTACTATAACGGAATTTTCGTTCGGAATTAAGGCCTGAGAATTTTGAATTACTCTGACAAGGGAAGGATACTAACTTAGATTAGCCTTTTGAGATATGACACATACATTTGGAATCAGCTTCAAACGCTGATTCCAAATGTGCTGTTCCTAACTGCTTAGCATTATTCGGAAGCGAGTTATGGGCTTGCTGTTGTGGGTAATCAACAAACTTTTGAATGTCGTAAGACGGCGTGCAAATTAGAATCTGCTCGAAAAAAGTGTTAGGATGTTGAACTAACATCAGATTAATTTTTTTGATCTTGAAAGGGAGCATAATACAATTGAAAGACCACCTAGACGTTAAACACCGTAGCATCAGTAAGTCGAGAAGCACGCAAACTTCGCATGGAGAAGAGACTATAACTCGCTTCAGAATAAAGCTAAGCAGCTAGGAACAGCACATTTGGAACCAGCGTTTCAAGCTGTCCCATCCTAAAAAAAGTATCTAACTTAGTGTCCTTCCCTTGTGAGTAGGGCCAGGATAAGAAAAGTCAGTCTTTTTAAAACGGCTGGTGTACTGCTTACGGCTAAGTTTTTTCACATGGCACTAGTACTGCTGGTTGAAAATTAAGTTGGGAAGGTGTTAAAGTTCTCACGCTTATGTAGTGATGCATCTGGGAATCATCTTGTTCGGAAAACCCCTAAGCGGGTGTTTTAAAAATTTTCAATAAGCAGCGAAGGAGAGCTATATCAGCGTTGCAGGTTGCTCTGCTTACTTGTTATCAGATTTTTTTAATGTCCAAATTGAAGATCTGACACTAAAAGCATTAACTTGTAACTTCTACTCAAGTGAGCGCGAGAAAAAACAATTTAAAAATCATCCATAAGGGATAGGACACTGTTGTCGATGATTTTCTGAACATTATCCTCTTACTATTTTATGTGGTTTGATATTCAGTCCAGAAAACGGCACAAACATTCTGGATCACGTTATATACTTTATGTTTATGAAGTTAACATGAACGATCTAGTGCCATCTTTCGCCAAAGAGTTGATCTTATTGAAGAGTCTGTCTACATGTGTTCCACTCCGACACTGTTCGGAATAACTGGTGACACCTTTGAAGACAAGCGATAAAGCAAAGTTTTTTTTCCAAAACTACCATTTTCAGTATGGTAGTGGTGCGTTTAAGATGAACTTGTAAAGGCAAAAACTCAAAATTCAAGACTAAGTCGATTTCAAACAGTTGACCAAAGAGTAAGAGACTACAAGGGGAAATTTTCGCACATGGCAAATCTTCCTGAAATCTAAGAGTTTGCCAAAGCTCCTAATGCCACATCCGTCTGTGACGCTGTTCGAGCAACATCTTAACATAACCACATGAAAGACAGAAAATGATGACTTTCATTGTTTGATACCAAACAGCTGCACCTTTTCGGATAAAGCCGTTGTACGTCTTGTGCGCATAGGTAGGTGTTTTGATTCCGCACGTGCAGCAAAAAGTAAGTAAAAAACCATGTTGACAGTCTTAAAGCATTGGTTTTTGATGTTACTGCTAGGTGTTCATTTTTGAGCGTGTTCGGGTAAATAACAAATCGTAACTCCTGCAAGACAGCTAACCGAACCGCAACTAGTCGTTATTTTGACCCTACCGCTGCGACCTTACAATGATAAGTTTACATATATCAAAAGTTTTTGAAACAATTGGCAACGGCAAGGATATATGTAATTAATTTTGATTGTTGCTTGACAAAACGACATGAGTAGAGAGGGCCTCAAAAGGAGGAGGTGTAGAAAATAGAGATGAGTAACGCGAGTCATATGGAAGGCTTGCAAAAGATTCTTGCACTCTATTTCTATTGATCTACAAATCGCATTGATTCAGAACTACTCAGACCACCAACTCTAGACCATGTATTTGAGTGGAACGATAATTTGGCACGTGAACCAAAGCTCGTTTTGATCTCATAAGCTATTGTCGTTCATGCTTCTGACAGATGTATGTCGGAGAACTGCAGAATTGTCTCTAGCGCGACTGAACAATAACTAAAGCGTTTTTGGCTGCAAAGTACGGCGTTCTACAAGTACCAGCAAAAATATAATAAAGCTTTGTTCAACCTTGGATTTGCACTTACAAAGCGCAATGAACGCCAAATTTGTTAAGAGTTAAAAATACCTATTTGATCTTTTAGCAAATTTTGTGCTGTTGCGGCTAAAATGTATTGTGCGCTGTAATTGCTGCCTCCAGTATATAAAGTGTAAGCTCGTTTACTAAATCATTCGAGATGAGCCTACTTTTTGCTCTTCTTGCGGTAATCAATCTTTCTGATATAAGTAGATTTTTAGCATTAGAAATCGTAAAACTTCAGATATTGCTTGCTGGGAGAATGAGAGCATCGCGTATTTGTGGCCCAAATTATGAGTTAACTGAGGAAGCCAAGAATGAGGTGTTGCTTTCTGTTACCATGGTATTGGAACAAGCTCACAAGCCGACAACACTGGTTGGTCAAACTTAGTTTTGAGGAACTTCTTTCTTTTTAAATCACTGCAAAAAAGCTCCATAATTTCAGTGGTGGCTGAGGTATATCATAGAGCATGCAAAACTATGTTTTATGACACATCGCCCGGAGTGTAAGCCCGTGCTTTATCAGTAAGCTGCCTAGTAAGCTTCTCAAAGTGGCATCTTGGATAACCACTTTTTATAGGCCACTAACGAGTACTCCTGCATTCATCGGCGCATCGGCATCTTTGGAATATCGGACCGAAATCTTGGGGGTTAGTGATGCAAACATTTAGGGACTGATGACGAATGCGATCATCGTCGCATGCGTATCTCAAAATCGACAAGATTTGTCGCTTAATCATCTTTCGCTTCCCAACCCTTTCTTCCAACAGGAAATGACATTGCGACGAAATAGCGAGATTGCATAAGCAACAACTATGAGCAATCTGCCGTGAAAAACGTGAAGTGAATGAGGTAGCACACACACCATTGGACTCGCATCACTGGCGACATTTTGCGAAGTCTTCCCTTACAGTGGCAAGCGTTCATTCACCTGGAAAATAATGCTCAAACATGCAAAAATCTAACAGCAAAAGTTAACTCGGTCCAAGTAGTTCATATAAAGGGAACACTGTATTATAGAGCATAGAGCATGAAATGCCGACTCCAAATCTGCTTTTTGTATCTGCGATGCGCTTCTAGGAGGGGAGTTATAGGAAATTTGAAAAATTTCTTCGAAAACCTGGCTTCTTTATGTTTGAGAAGTTGCCTACATTCCCTAAAGTTCCTTGACACCTTTTTCTAAATCATTGTTTCCTTTCCCCTCGGTAAAATTATGCATTTTTGTCTAAATGCAAAAATTCTTGCTCTTTACGATACCTTTGAGCTGACCCAGTAAGAGCAATAAAAATTTGAATTCTTTTAGCAGGATCAAGAAAAATTTTAAATTTTTGTTTGAGAGAGAGAAATATGTACATTACAGTAGAACTTTTGCTTTGAATTATAATGTGGCAATACTACAGAGTGTCCCAAAAAATGTGAACAATGTTTGATCGTCAGCAACTCTCTTGCTTTCACTTCGCCGAAATTGAGGTACTATTCCGTAGAGGTTCAACTTAGATTTACAGTTAAGATTCAAGTTAGATTCATATGAACCGAATCATATATTACCTTTATTACTGTTGGATTACGATATGAACTTTGATACACGAAAGTGAAAGTGATTTTTGCCTCAGAAAGAAATCCAAGCAACTGGAAACTCTTGTGCTGGACTAACTGTAGTCGCTGATTCTAATTATAAAATTTGCACTTTACTGTAATGCTTTTTACATAAGTTATTTCAGGTTTAGTGTAACATCTGTATTTCCAATGCCCGTCAAAAAGTGTGATTACACTACTAAAAGAGCTCAAAAAACCTGGAGAAAAGTTGTGTACTGGAATCAGCACCCTGAAAATCTTACTAAACAAATCTCCAGATTTTTTATTCTTTTTCGTATCGAAAGGCCTATTTCTTAGTACCGCTTTATGCTGAATGTACCGTAGTCCAGCTACTATAAGAGAGAGTGATTGATGATTTGATCCGTACTGTAAACCTAAGTTGAACCTCGCTCTACAGGAAGATACCTGGCACTCGTAGCGATCATACAGTGTTCACATTCTTTTGGAACACATATATATGAGAGGTAGAAGAAAATGAAGAAATTTGAACAAAACAGCTTTTTTCAAGCACTATGATTAAAAATACTAAAAGGACGCAGGATAAAATCTTAGTAGGAGTAGATAGTATGAACAAAATAGTTTCTCCTTGAGTAAAATTATGGTTTTGATATTCTTTTTCCTTACTTTCAAAAGTTGCCGTTTTTCGAAAATTTCTTTATTTGCTTTTAGCTCTCTCATTTTTCCAGTTTATCAAAAAATTCGTTATAACGCATTTGTTCTTATCAAAACGAAACATGGTTAGCGCTGTTGGGTAGATAATTAGTACAGCATTGGAAGTTTTTATAACAGGAGGGCCACTCTAGCTTTCGTTCTATAATAAAATCTCAGAAGTGTGTAACGTGCAGATAAAAACAATTTTCTGTGTATGCTGCCCATCGAGCATTGTAAAATTTGCTATGGTTCGAGCGTTGTTCTAAAGAGTTGGAATGTTCGAGGAAAAAGCAAAAAAACACAAAAATGTTTTTTTTCTCATTTTCTGCATTTTTGGCGTCGGAAATTGTACCTTTTCTAAGAAAAGCTTGATAAATACAAATTTTGCACTGCTGAAAAGAGCAACATGAGCAGATTGTGAGGAACATGTTTACATATTGCTAAGCGGCGTCCTAGACTTTTGGCGCTTCATATTACAGGGAACGATACCTACTTATCCCAGCATTCAATATGATTTGTATATGAAAATGCTCCTTTCTAATCACTCATTTCATATCCATATCCAATTTGAACTAATTTTGTCATATCGTCGTCTTTATATGATGCTTTAAACATGAAAACAGATCACAGAGAAAAAACAAAAGAAAATGCCGCAACAGGGATCGAACCTAGGACGAATTGGCTGGAAGACTGCTATACTTACCACTGCAGCAGTCGCTACTGATTTAATCCGGACGGCTCTACTCAACCCAATTTCGCCACTTTGAGAGAAAAAACCCTCATAACTTTTTTGTGAGGAACGATTCGCAGATTTCGGGTATGTATAGAAATGAGTGTTCAGGAAGGAGCATTTTCATATACAATTCATAATGGCTGAGGTAAGTGGTTATCGTTCCTCGTTAGAATATAGCAGGATAGATTTCCACAATTTTTACTAAAGTCTCCTGTTGTTGAGGAGCAGAAAAGATGTGTTATGATATAGATAAGTATTCTTTTTTGACGGAATTTATTGTAAGCAAATACGTTCGAATAGGGTGCAGCTACGAATCAATCAGATTTTAAGAGGGAGCTATTATCTTACCCAATATATTGGGTTGATGCAAAAATAATGAGCGTTTTCCTAGGACTTTTTTCAGGGCAATTTTTCTCCATTAAACTTCTTTCTTTGAAAAGTTTTCAGCAAAATGTTAGAAAGCTTTTATGCACTATCTAACGCTTTTCAAGGGACTTATAGCGACCTCTGTTAAGAATTTCTAGAGTTTTAAAAAATCGCACTCGACATCAGATTTTCCTTGCATTCACTTTTCTGGCCAGAGTTTAAGCGCAAATGAAGATGCTTTTTCGAAAATTTAGCCGCTATATGTAATGGAATTTGTCTACATTAAGCATACTTAACCATATTTTTTGAATTTATCTAAATTGAGATATCGGCAGCTTTAAATGGGTAATGGTTGTAGTCATTTTAGAGCTCATAACTTTTTTTAGTAGAATGCAGTTGCTCAACCTTTGCTCATCTCCGTAAGCGCGAGGGTAGGGCATCTGTTGACGGTTTTAGCAAAGACATTTAGGTGTTCAGTGCGCAGAAATTTAGAAAATTCTATACGTCGGGATTCTGAGGCCTACTGGAAAAATGCTAAAAAAGTTGATATTTTTGAATTTCGATTTTTCCCTCTTTGCTAGTCCTTTTTCTCTAAACCCTTTCCATGTATATTTGTACTACTGGCTTGCGGCCATAAGATAGGCCGCTTGTAAATTATAATAACGAAGTGTGAGAGGAGTTATGTTTTGTCAAATACAAGACTTCAGAAAAAGACTTTTTTTGTTTTTTAATCCATATTTTTTGCCCTTATGAGATATGAGTATATGTTGATGTGCGCTGTATTGCGAAAGGTTCGCTGCATCTGAGGTTTTTTATCAAATTCCAAAATGTAGATTTTATAGAAAATTATAGCAAGTCAAAATGAAAAGTAGAAAAACGCTCTTTATTTTTGCATCAACCTAATACATCAGGTTGTTTTGAAGTTGCTTCTCACCTCTTCTTCGATAAAATTCATAATCCTTTTGCATTAAAATTGTGCTTTCTACAGAGTTCTTTGCAGTGAATTATTACTTTTTTTCGTAGCATAAAAGGAAAATGGCAAACTTTGCTACCAACAGAACAAGTCTAAGAATAAAAATCTTTGCTGAAAAACATGGAGAAATCGACATTCTTTTCTGTCCAACCCAGCAAGTTTAGAGAATTCCAAATGTTTTAGGACTTCAAAATTTGCTTTGTACGTGAGGCTTGACATGATCTACATACTTACCAGCATGATGGGTGGTGTACGCAAATAACCAGCAAGATTACAACAGTCTTGTGAGAGCACTTTAAATTTCATTTTCTAAGTTTTTTCTATGTATTTCCGTTTCTTCTCTTCTTTGTTTTTTTCTTAAAATACAACTTCAACTATTTCATGTGGAGGCGCTTAGATGCCTCTAGCGCACCAGAGACGAAGGCGAAAAATATCAAAAATTTCAAAAAAAGGTCTGCGCGCAAGTTGCGGATGGCGGTGTCATTGATTAAAAATTTGCACACCCTCAACATGCCTCAGGTAATTAAGTGAAAACTTCCTAGATTTTCAAAAATCTGAGGTACAAGCTGAAAGCACTGTAATCTTATACAAGATGAGCATGCTCACTTTTCCTGCAATTTGTAGCCCTTCAGATAGTAAGATAGAAAATATAACTTTCCACAATGTATTTTTTAGAGCAATGGACGCCTTGGATGTGCGTGTGATGACGACTTCGAGGGACAGGGAGCGGTGTTTTGCCTTTTCGAGCGAGCGAATATTCCTAGATCTGTAATCGCTGAGAGCAAGAATTATTCCATCAGCGCGTATGGAGTTGTAACCTCTTCCTAAAATATCTGAAATAACCTCGCTTACTTTTTCGAACAAAGAGTAAAGTTTTCAGCATGCATTACTGTTCATTCTTTCTCTAAATATCAAGACAAAGGCCACCAGATAGTGCCAGTTTACATTTCCTTGCTATCAGGAAACGTAAACTGGCACTATCTGGTTGCCTTTGTCTTGACATGTAGAATTCAAGTTAATACAGGGTGTCCCAAAATAATGTGCACAGTGTTTGATTTTGAATAACTCTCTTATTATGAGGTCTTTCGAGAAGCGGTAAGCGCGATTTTGTAGAGCTGGCTTGAACTTAGATTCACAGTATAGAGCGAACCACCGATCGCTCTTCATTACTGTAGGATTACGGTAGAACCTTGGAACACATGGTGTCACTGTGGAAAAAGCTGCCGTTTCAAAAATTTTCAAAAAGATGTGAAAACTTGTGTAATAGGGTTTTTAGGGACGCTGAGTTCAACTCTCAACTATTTTTTTGATTGTGAAGCTTTCTAAACGGTGTAACTGCACTTTTTAGGAACATTGAGAAAATGACCGCTACTGCTTGCCTCGCATAACTCTTCAATGAAGCATCATAATAAGTTAGGAACTTTACAGCTAGAATCAGCAACTCTAACTGGCTTAGTGTGAAAATTTTCAGGCTGTTTTGATTCCTTTCTGAGACAAAATATGGCCTTTCATGGCCCAAAACCCTCTTTGAAGTTTCTACCGTAATCCTACAGTAACGAACAGCGGTCGGTGACTCGCTCTATAATGCGTATCTAAGTTGGAGCCAGCTCTACAAAATGGCGCTTACCGCATCTCGAAAGACCTCATAATAAGAGAGTTATTCAAAATCAAACAGTGTGCACATTATTTTGGGACACCCTGTATAACCGCACACAACTTCAGATGATTTGAGAATAATCCAAACGACTTCTATAGTAAAGGCAGCGCTTCTGCTATTCCTTCTCGCTGTAAAAGCTGTAAAGGTTAACAGTACAATCAAGACGTCAACATTCAATCATCGCTCAAAGTTCTATACAGCTACAACTCGCTTATGAAAAATTTCTTGAAAGCGAGCACGACAGCTGCAACCCTCATTTTAGTACGGCTATCCGTTCTAAGATTACTATATGTGTACGCTCAGCAATAAAAAGCTCGGTGCCCTCTTAACAACAATCTTGATATAATTTGGAACGTTTTTTCAACTATCCGCTATACTGGTCCTTATACGAACTTGCAATATTTTAACATGGTCACATGAAGATAGGCTGGGTTTGATTGAATCGCAGCTTCCTAAGCTTAGCAATGATTGTATTGAAAAGACGTGCAAAATTTTCCAAAGGCTCGTCGCTTTCTCAAAGCCCTTTCAGATGCACACTCCAGCTTTCCCAATTCAGGTAAACAAACAAAAAGGGTTTGATCTCTCAGGAATTCAACATTATAAACATGTATATCGCATTATCGCATTACCAAATGGTGGTTTTACCTACGTTTGCATACTTCTCAGCTTATCGGGTTTGATAGCGTAATTTTACTTAAAGGGTATAAACATTACTTCGCAAAACTTTGGATACCTTATTGCAGAGCGACAGAAAAAAACGGGCCATTTTTTCTATCCTTTGAGAATGCGATAGAAACATGTGGCATAACGGCGTTCCTCAAATTAGCTGCCTTGCCAGATATTTAGGTAATTATTGAAACTCTTGCGTTGAATTTTTTGAACTCGCTCTTATTCCACCAAATAAGCATGCACAGGTGTGTAACGCCATCACATGAAGTTAGTGTGGCTTTTTGATGATTACTGGGCTTAGCACTATTGCGATACACCTGAGTCAACTTTTGAATTAAAGCCTACTCAGGTGGTATGCTGAGAATGAGCGACAGACCATCCATCTTTAACAGAGTTTCCAACTCAATCGCAATGAGACTGATTGCGCAAAACTTTTTGCGAAATGTTTCCGACATGATTAATTCGATGAACAGCGCTCTGCTGCTAAATTAAGATGGAGCCAACTTAACAATAACCTGAATTTTTATTCATACAGGAAAGCTGTTGAAGATCAAATGCTTGCTACATTATTTGGGACATCCCCTACATACTACGGAGGTTAGAGAGCGGAACAGGAACCTAATCGATATTCTCGATGTCAGTCACATTGAAAGAACAACTCGAAATTCAGTCGTTAACCATTTTCAGTTTCCCAAGATCGTCATAGCGAATGAAGAAAGATTTGTAAGCATCATAGCCAAAACTCGATTTGCATCAAACCTCCATTTCTTTATTATTTAGCTCAGTAAACGAAACTCTATCAACAACTTTTTCATGCTTGTCATAGATTGTGCGCGGTTTCTTTTTTCCTTCATCAACATACAAATCTCACACTTCATCGATTTGATAAATGAGTATATATTAGGTGGTCCGAAAGTTGTTGCGCATCATTTTCAAAAGATCATAACTTCCTTGCCGCTCGATAAATTTCATTGAAATTATACAGGGTGTCCCAAAAAAATGTGAACCCTGTTTAATCGTTAATAACTCTCTTGCCTTCATGTCTTTTGCCGAGCTTGATGCACCATTCTATAGAGCGAGGTTTAACTTAGATTTACTTTTTTTTCTCTTTTTTTTTTGTATGGAGCGAATCGTCCATCGCTCTTCGTTACTGCAGGATTACGGTACAAACTTCGACAAGGATTTTTGGCCATTGGAGGCTATATTCTGACTCGGAATAAAGCCAAACAAGCCAAAAATTCTTATACTACGGAAATGGGAGACGCTGATTTCGAATATGAAATTTCCACTTTACCGTGATGCTTCTTTCCAAAGTTATCCCAGGTTAAACCGTAATAACCAAATTCCCAGCATTTGTCAGAAAGGTGACTACACCGTAAAAAAAGCTGAAATCACTTATAAAAAGTTGTGTAATGAAATCAGCGTGCGCGAAAACCTTAGTACACGATTTTTCAGATTTTTTGAAAAACATTTTGTCAAATGGCATATTTCACAATAGGTCCACATGCTAGAAGTTCATACCGTAATCCTACAGTAACGAGCAGCGAACGGTGATTCTCTGCATACTACAAATCTAAGTTGAACCTCGCTCTACAGAATGGTGCCTCAAGCTCGGCGAAAGACTTGAAAGCAAGGGAGTTATTAACGATTAAACAGTGTTCACATTTTTTTTGGGACACCTGTATATATTCGAAAGAGGACTCCATGCTCTTCACAGATTCCGCCGTGAATTACTTTGAAAAACTTCGAGAGTTACAAGCAGTTGAAGAAAATTGGTCAAGATTGGCATTTTTCGTGCTGGGTCACAAAAAATTCTGGAAGTATTTTCATTTAATAGAGAAAATTATGCTCATTATAAATATACCCTTTTCATGAGTCAAAACGAAAAAGATCGAGGGTTAGGAGCAAATGAAGAGAATTTCTTCAGTTTTGCAATTTTTAGCACGCTAAAAAAAGCCTAGAAACATCAAAGAAAAGACGGGAAAGTCATGAAAATGGGTTTTGTAATTTTCTCTTTCTAGCTGAGCAAAAATCGTGCCAATCGAGAGCAATTCGTTTTTCGTGAAAAACGCAGTCACAAAAATCCGAAAACGAAAAACAAAATTGCTCTTGATTGGCAAGATTTTTGTTCAGCTAGAAAGAAATAGTCACAAACTCTTGTTCATGACTTTTTCGTCTTTTCTGTGATGTTTTTAGGCTTTTTTGAGCATGCTCAAAAATTGCAAAACCAAAGAAATTTTCTTTATTTGCTCTTGACTCTCGATCTTTTTCGTTTTCACTCATAAAAAAAACCCATAATGAGAATAGTTTTCTCTATCAAATAAAAATGCTTTCAGAATTTTTTGTGACCCAGCTCGAAAAATGCCAATCTTGACTGATTTCCTTCAATTGCTTGTAACTCTCGAAGTATCTCAAAGTAATTCATGACTTAGGCACTGCTGTAAAGAACATGAATTGCTTTTTCGAATAGATATAACTTCAACGAATCCATCGAGTAGCAAGGAATTTATGATTTTTCAAATATGATGCGTAAGAACTTTCGGACCGACCTAATATATCAAGTTGAACCGAAAGTTCTGTCGCACCATTTTCAAAAAATCATAATTTCTCTCCCTCACGAAGATTTTGCGCAGGTCAAATTTGTCTGAAGCGTAAAGCATGTAGTTTCTAAAGGTCCTCTAGCGACTTCCCAATATGCTCAGGTTGCAGAGATAAAAAGGAACGAGATCATTCGAAATTCGGAATTTTTAAGCAAAAATTCTAAAAAACTACAAACTGTGCGATAAAATCCAGAATAGCTATCATCCTAAGTTTTTTTTAAATTCTATTACCAACTGAGCCAAGTTTGTGCTGATAGAGCTCTTCTTTCAGAAGTTATGATTTTTTTTGAAAAAAATGCCTAAAAATCGATTTCTTGAGAATTCTTAGGAAATTGATTTTTCGGCATTTTTTCTTCAAAAAATCATAATTTTTAAGAGAAGAGCTCGATCAGCACAAACTTGGCTCATTTAGTAATAAACTATAAGAAAACTTAGGATGATGGCTGTTCTGGATTTTATCGCACAGTCTCTAGATTTTTAGAATTTTTGCTTAAAAATTACGACTTTCGGATGATCTCGTTCTTTCATTTTTATCTCTGCAACCTGAGCATATTGGGAAGTAGCTAAGGAACCTCTAGAAACTACATGCTTTACGCTTTCAGAAAATTTTTTATTTGCGCAAAATCTTCGTGAGGAAGAGAAGTTATGATTTTTTGAAAATGGTGCGACAGAACTTTTGGTTCAACCTAATATATAATTGTTTTGAAAGCGAAAAATGGGGAAAGAAACGAGATTTTGGTTCAAAGATACAGGGTTTAAATACAAATATAGATACACAATCTGAAAAGGCGGTTTTCTGACTATCATTCTCCCGGGACGTCTGAGATTTCGACGGTTTTTTTCCCCGCAATAGATTCTAGCTAATGTATGGTTTGGTTTCCAAGAAAGCAAATCAACTTCGC